CGCCATCTCCCTCTCTCTCCTCCTCCTCCTCCTCATCTACTTCTCTCTCTTCAACCGCATCTCCATCATCAACACCGACTCCGAGCTCAAAGCCCTCTCCTTACTCCGCAACCAGCAAACGTCTCTCCTAAATCTCTGGAGCAAAACCCTAGCCGACTCGAACCGCTCCGGACCTAGCACTGTGCAGATCGAGCAGTTCAGATCGGCCATTCTCGATCAGATCAAGACTAATCGGCAGATCCAGATGGCGTTGCTGTCATCGAATGCGACGAACGACGGCAATGTGGGCCCCGATCTGGCGAGTTATGGTGTGGATGTGTGTAAAAAGGTGGGGAGATCGAAGGATCGGAGGACGATCGAGTGGAGACCGAAGAAAGATCGGTTCTTGTTCGCGATTTGCCTGTCGGGTCAGATGTCGAACCATTTGATTTGCTTGGAGAAGCACATGTTCATCGCTGCGGTTCTTGATAGGGTTCTGGTGTTTCCTAGCGATAAATTGGATTACAAGTATGGTGAGGTGCTGGATTCGAATCATATTAATGAGTGTTTTGGTCGAAAGGTGGTTGTCTCGTATGATGAGTTTGTTGAAGAGAGGAAGAATAAGTTGAAAATAGATAGGTTTATTTGTTACGTAGCGTCGCCACCTTGTTTCATGGATGATGAACATGTAAAGAAGTTGAAGGGTTTAGGGATTTCCTTGGGGGAGATTGAAGTGGCATGGCCTGAGGATGTGAAATCGAAGGAGCAGAAGAAGAGGGTTGTAGGGGATATTAAGCCTAAGTTTAGTTCGGACGACGAGGTTATTGCGATTGGGGATATGTTTTATGCTGATTTGGAGGAGGAGTGGGTAATGCAGCCGGGTGGTCCTCTTGCTCACAAGTGCAAGACTTTGATACAGCCGAGTAGGCTTATTGTTCTTACAGCGCAACGGTTTGTACAGACATTCTTAGGGAGTAATTTCGTTGCTTTGCATTTCAGACGACACGGGTTCTTGAAGTTTTGGTAAGTTCTCATAGATAATGGCTTATGTTAGTAATTTGAATAGTTTTAGCTTCTTAGTTCATCTTGTAGCTATTGACAACTTAAGTAGTTGATTGATCTAGTGACCAGCCTAGCTTAGTCTAGGGTGTTCAAAAACGCCATACAGTAAATTAGTACTGCAGAAAGTTATTATTATATTGTTTTAGGTACGATCCTGCATCCTAAGATATTTCTTGGGGCATATTAAAATTCTTCTCAAGGAAAAGTAATAGAAAAAGAAAAGAAAAGTTCTCATTACCATGTGAGATATGTAATTTATTTGAATAGAACCTTTTATATAGGAGATGGTTACAATGTATTTACATATCAATACCTCTACTTGGATCTTATGATCCAAATTACAAACTTATATTGAATCATTTTCTCTGCTCTGCTGGTTAAATGCCCTGCCGCATTCTCAAGGGTAGACTCATTTAGTTTCTTAGCCTGTTTAGATCCAAAGTGTACTAAAGAACTAAAATCATGATTAGGAATGAAGCCAGTTTGAAAGTCATATGCCTACAGCCACTTACAACACAGTTATCGAACAAACAATTATCATAGAATGGCTCCATCCAGCTGCAATGTATTTATTTATAAACTCTTATTTGATTTGTAATCAATCCACATATTAGACGATCACATTGTGTAGTTATCCCACAAATGTAGTAGTATGGATATATTCCTTAAAAAAAAGTATGGATATGAATCGATAATTCTGTTTGGTCCATCCTAGATATTGATCTTACTGATCAGTATCTTAAGTATATGCTTGTTTTTCCTGTCCAACATCAGTTAAAATGCGTGCATCCGCCTAACAGAAGTCACACGATATTTAAAAAGGATCTTCATATTGAACACTTTCTACAACTTGGTGTTCAGTGCCTATTATAGACTTAAAGCTATAAAGGTCAGATCCAGATCTAGCATGACTTGACCCACATGAGTACCTAACTACAACACTCCTTGACTCCAATTACAAACCTATTTACTCTATAACTAACACATAAAATAGAGTATATCATTTATATATTTCTACACTGGGTAATCATGACATTGACAATCCTACTTAGTTCTTCTATACTATGCTAGTCGTCACAATGACCGTCACGAGCAGAAATACACCTCCATTAATTGGAAAAAGAGTTGTTCCCTGTGAGGCACACATCCCCCATCCCCTTCCCTCTCCCTTATCCCTCCCTCCCTGCCTTTTCTAGTTGGATTTTCCTTTTCACATGTCATGTATCTTGTGAACATGAAGTTCATTGAGACTTTTGCTTATTCATGATCTCTGTAGGAAACTTATAGCCCCCTCCATCACCACACATACACACGAAAATAGGCATACATGCACAGACATGTACCAACCCAACCCACTCGAAAAAAACACGTACACATCTACACCCACACCTATATCACACCAACAACCCCTAGAGATATACAGATCCACCAGTCCATTCAAACTGATATGTGCACACACACACATGCAGACATAAACCATACACCCACTTTGCACCCTCCTATGTATTCTCTCGTCTCTTCTAATATCTATAGTCTAGGGGGGTTACATATGCTGTCCTGCTTGCTGGCTCGCATGAGGTGTATGGCAAGCTCCTGTCTTGTCTATAGTTTCCTTTACTAGGAGTTTGGCAATGAGTAAAAGGGCCGACATTATGTAGTTGCATTTCTTAGCTGTTCCTGTTTCGTGGTAAAAGGATTCTGATTATGTCCATGGTGGTTTGTTCGATTCTGATTATGTCCCATGGTGGTTTGTTCTAACTTCAGCAACTTCCTGGAGATGCATTAGGTTGCTCGTTTCAAATCTGCTGTCAAATTGGAACAGCGAGCTTTTTCCCTGTAAAATTACCTTATTTATGGCTTCAGGGTTCATTTAGTTTTGCCAGATATTTAGTTGACAACGAATTTTAAGGTTGCTGTCAAATGGTAGTAAAAAGTGAAGAATCCTCAAACCCTTACCTCCAATTGCATCCCAAATCTCACATATAATCTCTCTAAAACAATCTCTAAATTACTTATAGAGAAAACTAATATGCGAGCCTTGAGCATATTGCATTGACTGTAGATGTTGGGATAGATGACTAGCTAGTTCGTAATTTTGCATTCCAAGATTGAATAGGAATAGGAAGAGGAACCAGACTCTTTTTTCCAAATTAAAGCAGAGTTCAAAGGTATTACCCTTTATCTCTGCGACCAATAGGATTCCTGTCCTATGACAAAGACACAAGAATCTAATACTTGTGTATTACAGGTCTACAATACACAAGAATTGCAATTGAGATCATGATTTTTTATATACCTCACATTTTTGTTTCTTGGTGTACAATTCAATTTTGACATTGTTACTTCAAGAAAAGGCAAATCATGCAGCAGTCAACCAGACTAATAACTCAAAACTGCAAGACACTTACAACAGTCAACTTCCTACTACAACAAAAGAATTTTTCGAAATGCGGAAAAAGTAAGAAAAGAAACATTTCACAGTACAATCAAAAGCTCAATCCAGATCCACTAAGCTTCTCTGCATATATACCATCCATTCTCTTAGCCATCTCGGGAGAAAAATAATTCTTCCAATCCCCAACCTTCCCTTTCCTAAAGTGTGATGAGTTTGGCACCACAACCTCCTTATATCCTCTATTGCCCTTTTTATTCCCTTCAGCTTTCTTCAACTTCTCAAAACTACACAGCCTTACAATCTCCTCCACCACATCCTCTCTTTCCCCCTCCTCCGAAAGTGCACATCCCAAAGACTCCGCCAACTTCCTCAGATGCTTTCTTGGATCCTCCATTAACTCCTCATACTTCAGGAACAAAATTTTTGACAGCCTTTTCAAGCTCTCGCTCCAATACCCCAAATCGTGGTCCCACAAAGGCCCAAATGGTACCACACCCTTACAATATATGTCAAGATTCTTACTAAATGGTACAGGCTCTACTGTATCAGGTGTCATCTCCTTCAAGAAATGCCATCCTGAGACCAAAGTATCCTTAAATGCCATCCTGAGACCAAAGTATCCTTAGGGTCTCGACAATGTAGACAGTCTTGCAAAGTGAGTTCGTCAGAGACTCGGGCAGAACCTGATTTGTTTGCAATCAGGAGGGTTCAAAAGGAGGAGAGGGTGGTCTTGTGAGGAGGGTTTGTGGTGTTTTCTTGCGATCGTTGCAAATGTTAGGGCCTTGAGCCAGGTTGTGCCTGATTTTAGAGGGGAGCATAAAAAGATGTCTGTATCTTGAGGTTTGATTTGTTCGCGGAAGGCGAGGAAGCCTGGGAGGCTGATGTCTAGGTACCAGAATCCATGGTAATTTCGGCATCGGATTGGATGCCAATCTTCACAAAGAGGAAGGGATGTCATCAACTGTTGGTATTTCTCATGTGGTGGTAATTCTTCCTCTACATGATAAGCCATTGATGGATTTGGGAGATATGAATTTGTGGCTTTGGAATACTTCCTCACTTTGAAAGTACAAGTTCAAGAAGAGTGATTATATAAAAGAAGAGGAGAGATCAAATCAATAATCGTTAATGCTAACAAAGTGGAAACAAAAGAAGGACATGAGGCATTTAATAAAAAAAAATTGTTGGTGTTGTATAATACTCGACAATGAATGGAAACATAATTAACATTCTTAATCAACCTCCTCACTGCCTTGAGATTCCTGCTGGTATTAAGCGCTTAATTTGATCTCTCTTTATAATGAATTGATTATGTCTTAAATATATTCAACCATATTTGCTTGATAAACTTCACGATAAATCTTTCTAAGTTAATTTAAAACATCCTGGCCGGCCAACTTGTGGTCCCTTGAGGTTTATGTTTATCCTGGCTAATGCAATTTGCACTGAGGCACATTATGAATATGACAACTATAGATATAAAATGCAATTCAATTTCATAAGGACTTTTCGTGACATGATGTTTCATGTTTTGCATTCCAGCAATATGAAAGAGGAGAGCTGCTTCTTCCCCATTCCTCAGGCAGCAGAGTGTATATTGCAGGTAATTGACAGATCCAATGCTCCGATCATATATCTCTCCACTGATGCAGCCGAGAGTGAAACAGACCTTCTTCGGTCTCTGCTAGTGTCTAATGATGGCAGGCCAATTCCTTTGGTCAAGAGGCCCAGTCACAACAGTTCGGAGAAATGGGATGCCTTGTTATACAGAAATCATCTTGGCAAGGCTTCAACCCGACATTCCGCCAACCTCCATTTGATATCGTCGTTAAAGCGCTATTCCATCCATCCTCTAACTATGTTGTTTGTCTACAATAAATACGAAAACACAAATACTAGACAAACAACATTAGTGGTAAATTGTTTATTTCTGTTTCTTAAATTAATAATTGGATTAATTTTAGAAAACTACCATGAGCTATTAGGTTTTTCAAAAGACTACCAGAGGCACAGACTATGAAACCAGTATCACCCCAACTTCGCAACTCAAAAGTGATATTATCATAAAGGGTTAATTTCAGATGGACCCCTGTAGTATCAGTGTTTTGAACTTACTAACCCTCTAGTTTTATGTTGCAAATAGAATCCATGCGTTAAATTTCTCTTTCACCCTCAGGGGTAATGTTATCGATAGCGGATAGCGTCGCGTAGCGGTGAGGCATCTCAAAAGCTATTTCGGGCTATTGCAGCAAAATAGTGGTAAAAAACACAAAGTCAAATAACGGTCTAATTTAGATATGTATAAATACTAAAAAAAATTAAAGAAAAATCTAAGAAATCTAAAAGTACATATTGGATGATTTAAAGAGATCCTAAACATGAAATAGACATGTAACCATCACGTAATACCGAAGATGACTGGAGGAGTCAAAAAGTCGTCGTCTTCGAGAAGAAGAGCTTAGCGGTGACAGGACTGCCCTAAGAGGAGCTCATGGTGAAGGAGGTGAGAGGAAGTATCAAGGTAGGTGACAGAGGTTATGAGAGGTGGCGGGAGTATGCTGAAAATCACAGGAGACGGTGAATTTTAAAAAATAAGCCTCAAACCGTTTTTAAATAGCAGTCAAAAAGAAAATTTCGAATACAACCGCTCACTATTTACCGTTATGACACACTATTGGCCGTTTTTGCGAACAGACATATTCCGCAATATGTCACCGCTATTACGCGATAGCGTAGCGGGCGATAGCGTCGCGGGAAGGGACCACTAACGCTATTAGTGCCGCTATTGCGGGACTATTTACCGCTATTTATAACAGTGCTCAGGGGTCTATCTATCGAAAAACAATTTCTCTCTTGAGGGTAAGACAGTAAAAAAATTCACTCAGAAGTTCTATTTGCATCAATAAAAGCTAGAGGCACGGTTAGTTAAAAACAACAATACTACAGGGGCTTATCTACAACTAACCCTATTATTAAAGCTACCCTAACCTAGGCTTATTGAGGCACGCGTCTCGGGCGCGCCCCAGGCGCGATGTGGTTCGGTCGACC